TTTTATTTAGTTTATAAATATATAGCTATAGGTTGTAAAAGGGGGTTAGAAATATTCACGTGATATATACTGGAGAGATAGTGTTAGAGAGGGAAGGAGGAAAAGGAAGGAATGAAGAGAAAAACCCTATAGAGAGAAGATCAAGGAAGAAGAAGTTTAACTTTCGATCCAAAAGTTTAAGGCAAGTTCTTCTTCTATCTCTTTCCCTTTGATTCGTGTTTCTGTACATGCCTAGGAAATTCCAGAATTTATTAAACACATAAAATTAAATAATTATGCATGTTTAATTGGGTTAGAACATATGTTTTATGAAATTGGTTCATATATGTTCTTGTGTTATGAATTGATAAAATGCATGATTTTGATTTGATTTCTTATGTGAATTTTTACATGTTTAAATTATGTATTTTTCATATCTGTGGAATGATGGAACGTAGAAACATGCCTAGGATTCCTGAACATTAAATAGGGACTAGGTTTGGGTTTTAATAAATTTAAATAGACTCAATCATAATGATGCTTGCTATTTGAATGTTTTAAACAAACGAATGAATTTAATCTTTTAAAATATTTTAACAATTGAGATTAAATGTGTAGGATGAATTGGATATAGAGAATCCTTATTTAACGGTATAATAAAATATCATCATGTATAAGATTCAGTTTGTGTAGGACATATGATATAGGAAGTTTAAAGAAATAATAAGTCATTCATATTATGCGATAACTTGATATCATATTTATCATAGTTATTTATGGAATGTTTGATGTATTTCCTTAATTGTTACATCAATTATTGGATTGTGTGGTTTAATGTACCGGTATGTGACGATGGCATTCTAGGGATGGATTAACTTATCAGTTAAGTCCTACCTATTTTATAAGGGAATGGATTAACTAAAATGTTAAGTCCTACTTATATTTAAGTCAGGTCAGCTGAACAAGTTGAATGACTTATGGAGGATTAATTTATTATATAAGGGAATGGATTAACTAAAATGTTAAGTCCTACTTATATTCAAGTCAGGTCAGCTGAACAAGTTGAATGACTTATGGAGGATTAATTTATACTGGATAGGATGGTTACTAGATTATATATATATAAGTATGGTGCCATGATATGAGCTTGAGTCTAAGGATCAATAGTTAGGGCGCGTATATCGCCAGGGATGTGTAGCTAGATATAATGTAGTTGTGTACCCTGGTAGGTCTAGGTACTCATGCCCACTATATGTGCGTTTTGCATGTTGCCTACTATTCAGGTTGAGACAACCCTATAGTCTAGTGAGGTTCCTTTAGTGTGTATATATATATATACGGACTACTAGTTACTGTTGGATTGACTAGGATGTATACGTGTATCGAATCTCTGCTTGGACTGTAGTAGAGTAGAACTTGTTTGTGGGCCTGACCCACAATTATTTTTCAGGTGTTCGTCACGAGTAGAGGTTGTTCGTGCTGAGTAGGGATCAGTCTACTTCATTCTTCCGATGCTACATAGGAGTTCCTTTATGATTCAGTTTCCTGTTTTAGATTACTGTCATTTGTTTAGTTTGGATTTTCTAGGGGTCCACACAGTATGGATTCCCGAATTGTATTTTGGAGGATTAGTTGTATCAGAAGAGTTTATTAATTAATGAAAATATATTATGAGATTTATTATTAGATTATCATTTTAGTTTCTTGTCAGCATTTTATTTATTCTTCTTTATTCTTTTGTACTCTGTGTTCGTTTATTATCAATTTATTTTAATATCCTCGGGTATTCGGGTGTGGGCCTGGCCAACCCGCATTCGGAAATTCGGGGGTATCACACTGAAACCATCTATTAGTTGAGCATCGTGCACAGCTTTGCCAGCATTGGAATCTCTGGCCGCCGTTTAAATCACCAATCTCTCCCGATTATCTTGACGGTAATGAAATAAGCAACATGTTTTGTAGGGATTTACAGGGGTTACGGTGTATATATATATAGAGAGAGAGAGAGAAAAAGGGGGGGGGGGGAGGATGAAAAAGATAATTTGGGTTATTTAAGTATTTTGATATTTTATAATTAAAATTAATAAAATAGTGAAGGGTAAAGTAGACTTTTCACATGTTTTAAGGCTATGTTTAGATGATAAATTTTACAAGGGGGTGTCACTGTCCGAAAATAGCTAACTTTCATCTATGTGTCCTTACCTCAAACCTTAGGGAGTGTCAATGTACTTTACCCTTATTTTTTTAATATCATCCCGAGGTATTTGTTTTTATTTTTATTTTATTTTTATTTTTTTAAGTTTTAAGATTTTGAAATACTCCTACCTTCCAAAAATAAGTGTCACTCCATGAGAATTTAACTTTTGAAGATAATAATTTTTAGTATTGTTTTTATTTATTTGTTATTATATTAGTAATGAATGAATTATTAAATTTACCTATAGAGTAGGGGTGTCTAAGTTTGATATGACCCGCCAACACGATACAAATTAAGTGAATTTGTGTTGACATTAAACGGGTTCAAATCGTAATGGATTGACATAATTAACCCGTTTAATGACTTATTTACTAAAATAAGACATTATATTATTTAGATTATTAATAATACTCAATCTAACAGTAAATACTAGATTGATAAACAGATCAGGTTAGTGTTGAGGGATCTTGACACAATTATAATCCGTGAACACAAATTGCCACCCCTACAGTAATGGATCAATAATGATATAATGATTTACTTTTTATAAGTTCAACATAAAAAGGTTAAATAAAATATTACAAAATAATACATTAGCTTTTTAAATATGATACTTATTTTAGGACCGAAAAAAATAAAAAGGTGAAAACTTATTTTTGAGATGGAGTGAGTAATTTAGTCCCATACAAGACTACTATTATAGGTTCTCGTCCCAATGTCGGATTGAGATGCAAAAAAAAAAAAATGAGTTTGTATAGGCAAATATGTTGAATTATTCAATAATATAAGTTTTTTAAAAAAGGGACCAACATTCGACTCGTTACATTTAATTTTAATCATATATGTTAAATGTATATTAAAAAAAATTAATGAAATTGGTGAAAAATGAAGAAATTTAAATAATTGAGAAGTCACTCTAATAAGTTGAATATTTTGTAATAAATTTATATGAACTTTAAGGAGTTTAGAGAAAACAAATTTATTTCCATAGAATTATCATGTTCAAAAGTATAATGATGCAAACTATTTTATAATCATTCATCTAATAAAACAAAAGTTGTTAAGGAATGAATCAAACAAAGTAGTAGACATTTATGCGTCTAACTTGCACGTGGAAATGAAACTAAAAAGTTGCAAAGAAAAAAAGTAAGAGGGCAGATTAATGATAACTAGCTCTTTATTTGAACACCTAATATAAGAAAAGTAAATAAACTACAAAAATTACATTAAGTGACACTTTTTATTACTATTCAATTTTAACTTATATATATATATATATTTGTTATTCACAAGAAACTCACACGTTTAGTTGTACTTCTTCGAAGACTTACCCTCGTTATTTATTTAAAAAAATTTCATTTATATTCTTTTGATTTTTTCTTCTTGTTATTTATATATTTATTTTTATTATTGGGGGAGGGGAAGATATCTGAAAGAGATTACAATTAAAAAAGCGTTCAATTATTTTTTGAGAAAATAATTGTTATACAAATCGATTCCACTTGTAAGATTCTCTCACATGAGAGTAATGAGAACAATAGTATATTGAAATTTCCAGTAAGAGAGGTTTTTTTTTTTTTTTTTGACAACAAACAGAACCATGTAAGAGAGTTGATACAAGCGGAACTAACTTGGATTGCATTATTCTTGAAAATTCCTTTTTTTTAAGAAAGAACACAACAATTTGAACTGATAATTCAAATCTAAAACATTAGTTGAAGAGTTTTTATATCCTCAGATATGTTTAAGCGAGAATTGTGAGTTTTACTTGAAACATTCAATTAATCTTTTAGACTTGAATTATCCATTCAAATATTATTCTTTTGAGTTATTACTTATAAAATCATTAAAGAATGACATTATTTCGACATGATTAAATAGTAATTAGATAATTTGTTAAGTAATGTTGTAGTGAAGCAAATTTGTTCCTAAAATAGTAATTAGTCATTATGTGCCTATGGCAGAGTAAAGTATTGTCTCATTGATAGTTGTATTGACTGCTTTACAAATTCCAGTTACACAAGTCAGCAACAACATTGACACCCTTCCCAAAACTCAATTTTTTTTTTGCAAAACTCAAAGCCCCACGCTTCCCCCAAAGCCCCTTGAGAAGAGTTATATAAAATTCTAGATCCCTCAGTAACCCACCTTGAAAATTGGGTGAGATTGGTGTGAAAAATTTCACTTCCATCAATCCCAACATCATCTTAACAAAGAAAGAAGGAAAGGAAACCACCTGTCTAAAACAACACGTAGAAAAGACCCCCCCTCCCCTCCTCTCTCTCTCTCTCTCTCACACACACACACACAGTACCGCCAGAGCCTCAAAACCCATACACCTCCCCCATCATTTCCCACAACCCAATGCCCCCATACCATCATTTCCAGTTAGACATTTGAGAAAAGCAAAGAAAAACAAATAAAGAATCAATTAAAAAGATAGTGAAGAAAGATCTCTCTCCCTACAACAGTCTCATTCTCATGATTCTGCATCACTTCTGTTCCCCATCCATTGATTATATCAGCCACATGTGATATATATATATATACACATATAGATAAAGGGCCTGATATTTGGTCATAATTAATCCTTGTCATATATGTGTGAGTAATAGGTGAAAAATAAGCAATTTGGGGAGTACTTTAAAATGGATAAGAAGAAGATTTAATATATATATATATATATACATATACATATACATATACTGTATATTCTTTTTACCACAACCATCTGTTTTTGTTGGTTGCCACAGTAATCTGGACATGAAAGCTCCCATCTTTTCATGTATATTGACACAGATGGTTGATGTGTCACTTGGCTTGTTGATGTCCTCTTTTGACTCTCTATTGCTATTTTCCACTGTTTCTTCTTCATCTTTGTTAATAAATCTGCACTGGGTTCTGAATTAAACATAAGATATACTCTCAGAGAGAGAGAGAGAGAGAGAGAGCGAAAATGGGGTCTCTAGGAGTTGAAGTTGCAAAGAAGGCAATGTGGCTCTATCCAAAAGTCCTGGGCTTTAATCCTTCAGAGAGATGGGGGCACTCTGCTTGTTATTCTAATGGATTTGTCTATGTCTTTGGGGTAAGTTTTTTTTTTTTTTTTTTTTTTTTTTTTTTTTTTGGGATTTTTTTCTTTATTTTCTTAATAATATCCTGAGTTTTTTTCATGAAAATAATGCTGTTTGAAATGTGTGTGTGTGTGTGTTATCATGCTGTTTGGGTCATTATCATAACTGCTCTGCTTTTATCACTGGTAGTTTTCTTGATGTCTGCTGTGGTATTTAGTTATTTTTTTGACCTTTATTTTTTTGGTGGGAATTTGTATTTTTTTTTTGTTCTAGTCTGTGGTATGGTATCTTTGGGTAATAATAGATGGACTTTCTTTAAATGTTTTTGTTCTTTCATTTTTTTTCTTCCTTTGTTTCTTGTTGTGATATTGTCTGAAGTTTGTCTTTGTTTTATTTCCTCTAATTAATGTATAGTAGAATCACAATAGTCCTCTTGTTTTCTTGACATAGAAATGTTTTCCTATTCCCTTCTTTTCCCCTTTTATCCATGTAGTTGTTTTTCCCAGTTACCCTGCAATTTCTTTCCTTATCATACATGTTAATAAAGTTATCCTTGATTTCTGTTTTTGATCTTAAGCTAGTTTTTTTTTTTTTTTTGGATGAATAATTTTAAACTAGTTTTATTCCACAAAAGACTTAATGCTCTAATACTTTGATCTTACAAAAATCACTCATAAGGAAGAAGATCTTTAAGAAGATAATGGAAGGATGTTGAGGTATTATGAATCCGGATTTGGTATCTCGTTTTTGTTCCATTAGATTGTCAAGCCGATGAGAGAAAGAAAGAGTAGAAAGAATTTTGGATATCATTGGATTCAAATCCTCTTGCTTCTCCAAATGTGGTTGGTCTTGTGAATTGATTTTTTATTTTTAATTTTTTGTTCTATTTTGGAAATTTTATAGGTGGTTTAGACTTTGATGGTTGCAAGGAAATAATTCTTTTTATAAACAAGAACTATGAAAGATAGTTATGTTTTGTGTTTGATCAGAATTTTCACTTCACCATTTTTCTCTCAGTTTGCCTACTCGAAAATAAGAACGAAAGCTTTAAATTTCTCTTAATAGAAGCATAATCTAGTCTCGAATGCCACATTTTAATTGCTTTATCTGTTTATACCAATTTCAGGGATGTCGTGGGGGTTTGCATTTCGCGGATGTCCTTGTTCTAAATTTAGATACAATGGCTTGGAACACTCTTGTGACCAATGGGCAGGGACCAGGTCCAAGAGACAGCCACAGTGCTGTAATTGTGGGGCATAGGATGATAGTATTCGGGGGCACTAATGGTTCTAAGAAGGTCAATGATCTTCATATATTGGATCTCAGGTCGAGAGAGTGGACACAACCTAACTGTAAAGGGGTTCCACCTTCCCCTCGCGAAAGTCACACTGCAACGCTTGTTGGTTATGAGAAATTGGTTATATTCGGGGGTAGTGGAGAGGGGGAGGCAAATTATTTGAATGATTTACATGTTCTCGACCTCAAGACCATGAGATGGACTTCCCCAGAGGTGAAAGGTGATGTTCCTGCCCCTAGGGACAGTCACATTGCTGTTGCAGTAGGGAACAAGCTTTTCGTGTATGGTGGAGACTGCGGTGATCGGTATCAAGATGACGTTGACATGCTTGATATGGATACATTAACTTGGTCAAGGGTATGAACTCTATATAACATTATATCTATATCTAGTTTCAGTGTCTCAAATGTTTTATACAAATTTAATTTCATATAAGCTCTTAACTAAAACCTTTTTTTTTTTGTTACAGCTAGCTGTTCAAGGATCTTCACCTGGTTTTCGAGCAGGGCATGCTGCAGTGAATATTGGAACGAAGGTTAGTCATGTTACTAATACGTACCAAGTGAAAGAAGAGTAAAGAGGCATTTGAGCACTCCGATTTTTGAGATCAAGTTTTTTTTTTTTTTTCCTAACATTTAAAAATGGATTGATCTCATTGCAAAAAATCGAATAATTTTAAGGTTTTGAAAAATGTCTTAATCTTAGAATAGCAGTGCCTATTGTTATATATGTTGAATCCTGGTGATGTTTCGTTTTGTACTATGAAACTCTTCCATGTAAATGAATTCTATGTCAGAAAGGTTATTTTGCTAGTCCTGATTTACAGGTATATGTCATTGGAGGGGTTGGAGACAAGCAATACTATAATGATGTTTGGGTTCTTGATATAAATACCTGTTCTTGGACTCGGCTTGAGATATGCGGCCAGCAACCACAAGGGCGGTTCTCTCATACAGCAGTCATTACCGAGAGAGACATTGTCATCTATGGAGGGTAAGCTTTTATAATTTTAGCAATCCCTATTATATATGGTGCCTTCCTCCTCTCTGAGAGTGGATGTTCATTGCTTTGTTTCTTTGTTTGCTGCTTCAAATTTGCAGGTGTGGGGAGGATGAGCGTCCTCTTAACGAGTTAGTTGTCTTGCAGCTTGGAGCTGAACATCCCAAAGGCTGTTACAACATTTCCTTGTGCAAAATTTTTGGAAAACATTGCAACCAAGGAAAAAGAAGGTTTTCAAGAGTAGCAGATGATAATTCGGTGTGGAAAAAGAGAATAGATGCATAACTTAACTCCTTTCAACTGATTTTTTTTTGTTTTGTTTTTGAGACAATTAAGTTTATGTGTGATTTGTGGCAGAGAACGATGTTGGTGAATGGCGTAGAAAGAAAGGAAGCTCATGAGCTCGACTTAAAATCAAAGCGGTGTTTTCAATTCAGTTCAGGTTGGAACTAAAAAGGAATTTAAGATTTTTATCATAACTATGAATAGAGATTCCAAAACATAACTAGAACTTTTTGTTGTTTTAAAGATGCTATGCATCCGAAGAGGAGAAGGACAAGCAGTTCAAAGACTTGGGAGATGGAATCGGAACCTGAAGAGCACTCTCTTTCCCTCTCCCAGCACTCATCTCCATCCCAATCTGATCAAGAACAGAAAACCCCGGTTAAGAAAGCCACTCGTTTGGTCACAACTTCTCAAGTGTTCCGTTTGTTGCAGAAAAATCAAACTCCAAGCAATTTCCAAAGCAGCAACGTTGTCCGAAGGACTTCACAAGATCTCCATGTCTTGGGAGAACATCTCAACCTGCCGAAGTCAGAACAAAATCGTCACATATTTCACACGGGTAGACATGAAGAGCACTGTCCAGCACCTGAACAGAAATACTTGGAGGCGGGACCCTTCCATAACCTGGTAGATTATCAATACTTTTAAACTCTTCAAGTTATTAGCAATCATACTTAACAAATACACACACACACACACACTCTCATGCCACTGCTTTTTCTGAGTAGTGTATATGTTAACACATTGACTATTGCACTCCTCAATCAATACTACTTAGAACCCATGTTTTCTTAAAGCAAGTTATGCACAATCATTCCTCATATCCCACTGCTCTACCACTGATGTTTTTCCAATAAGCAAAGGGGAGCCGATATTCACACTCCCTTTTAACCAAATGCATGTAACGCTATACATTAGCGTCCCTAACACTTACATAGGAAAATCGAGTATTAGGAGCATGTTTGTCATTTTTGTCATGAAAACCATAAGAAAAGGAGTGCTTAAAAGGGGTGCATTTACCTTCTTGCTTATTGTTTCAACTTAATTTTTCACACTAGATTGGAGCAGAGATTCGAGGTAAAGTTGATGGGGCTTTCGACTCTGGTTACCTGATGACTGCAACAGTCGACGGAAAGATATTTAGGGGGGTCTTATTTGCTCCGGTAAGCTCTTAAATTCGGGGAAATTTAATTTACCTCTCTTTCCATTTTTGTCCGAGTGTTTAAAAACATGTTTCTGAAACTCATTTGTCAACCAGGGACCTGAGGTTGTCTCAAGAAGTGCCATTGTGAGTCAAAATCCTCCATCCCTAACAAGTCATATGGCCATTGCTCAACCACACCACAACATGAATCATGCAAGTCCATTTGGAAGGCATTCCCAGCTGCCAACACTGTCAAAGCGAGAACCGGTTCAGGGTCTCCGACAAGCTCAGGGTAATCGACCATCGCCGCCCATTAGAGGGGCTCCATCTTTAGGCAGGGAGACAAAGATCAAGAGTGATCTTCAGGGAGTGAATCTAACACTGGCAAGTCCTGGAAGTAGCCATGGCTAATCATAGATGAGTAGGAGGAGCCTTACATTTGAGGACCAAAATTAGGCTCATTTCTGTAGTCTACTTCTTGTAATATATGGGATGGAATGTGTTTATGTTGTTGGAAGGAAGTTGTGCTCCACATGCACCACATGCACACAATCTCCTTGATCTTGCCATCGTAATAAATAAAGCAATGCAATACAATAACTCAAGCCAAAAGAAAAAAAGAAAAAGAATAAAATCTAACAAGAAACCAAATTATGTTACCTCCCAATCCCTCTCAAGAGTCCTCCAATTCTTGGACAAAAACCCCAACTTCGCTAAAAATAATGATATTGATGAAGTAATATATTTTGTTCACTTTTGGCTCCCAGGGCCGGACTACTCTTCATGGACGGATCTATGAAGTTGTGGGAAGGGGACAAAAGTGAATGTTTTTTATTTTTTTTTTAAAGAGGGACGAAGTGAAATTTTTTTAAGTATATCATTGAAAATAAGAAAAATTAGTGGTATATAATAGTAAAAAAAATTATTAAGAATTGCCCCCATTGACTATAAAGTGGCTCCATTATGAGGAGGCTCAATTGTGGAATTTTGATGAGTTTATGACCATCACAGTTTTAAAAACGGATTGTTAAACCTACATATAACACTTTATTTTTATCTTTTTCAAGTGTTATAGGATTATGACATTCGTAACCTGTCAGTTTGGTAGTTCGTTTACTGTCTTACACTCGTCTACACAGATTGTCACCAAGAAAAAAAAGAAAAAATAAAGTATTGAAATTTTTCAATACTACAGTTTTTTCCAAGAAGTTCAAAAAACAAAAAAAAAAAAAAAAAACCTTTAGGCAAGTCAATATATATATCTACATATGTATGTACGTTTATATAGTATGATCAGTGAGTCTCAAGACTCTCAACTATAATAGACACGTGTAGAATTCCATGTAAGAGGGGGGTTCCACGTGATATGTGACGATATGAAAAAAAATTAAGATTTGCAATGTGGGTGGGGTGGGTGTGGGTGTGGGTGTGACAGACAACATTAGAAGGAAAAAGCTCCCGCATCCCACGCGAGTGTTGTCACTTACAAAATTCAGATTTCAAGATAAAGAAGGGGTCCCTTTCAGCCGTACCATCGGCCTTTCACGTCATGACAAAAATACAGGGACAGGTGTGGTGCAAATTTTAACAACTCGTAAAAATGTTACATCACATATTTATCAAAATATCATGATGTTAAAGTGTGATACTTTGAGTTTTACTTTTTGTCAACAAAAAAAAATAAAAAATAAAAAATTATTAGCAACTAATTATAATATGAAAGTATAAAATGGGTAAAATGAGTAGAGGGTCACAAAGTATTACGCGACTCGAGTTAAATGGATTTGAATTAATATGAAGTGAAATTGGATCGAAAATGGGTTGACACGATTAAGTTGAGGTGATTCAATCCGTGTAATTCATTTAGAATAATACTTAAATCCTTATTAGTGAAGATTTACATCATAGTGATCTCTTATATGCATCAATAATAAATAGATATATTTTATTTTAATTACCAAATTATATATGGTAATTAAATTACTATCTATAAATTTGGTAATTAAAGATGGTTCACATCATTAGTAATGATGGTGCAAATCTCATTAGTGAGGACCTAAGTATTATTATACCTGTTTAACTATATGTGTCACAAATAAATTTATATTTAAGTTTTTAAATAATTATCTAAACTCGTGTGTTATAATTTATTCTTTTGTAAGGTAAAAACTATTTAGTAATTTGGTTTGATTCAAATTTATACTTTTTTTAGTATTCATTATTTGATAGGGTGTTATTAATAATTTAAATAATATAATTTTTTATTTTCGTAAATAGGTCATTAAACGAATTACACGTGTAACCAGTTTAATAAACAGATTGAGTTAGTGTTGAGGGTTCCCGACACTAATATTAAACTGGTCATGTTCGGATTGAATTATTTAGTAGAATACCCTTAAGTTGACACGACATGATTATGACCCACGAACACAAATTGTCACCCCTAGAGTTGGATAGTTGTAACGGGTCGGATTCTTCGCGATTGAATTTAAAAATTTAAGTTATTAGGTGGAATTAATGTTCAACCCATATATATCCATTGTCCCATTTCACTATCCCATCTGGCCATCTAGATCCAACGTAGGACAAGTCCCATTTGTGACTGTAGGCCAATTGCAAGATGCACTCTTATGAGTCAAGTGAAAACCAAATTCGACCCGCCCAGGGACGGAGGCATGGGAGGCCAACCCCTTTCAATATTATATTAAACTAAGCCCAATTGCAATAATAGATAATATATTCATTTTCCTTTAGGGTTGAAAGTTTTTTAAATTTTGGCTTAACTGTCTTTTTGTATTTGTTATGAAAGTTTGAAGAAAAAAAAAAAAAAGGCTTCTTTAAGTAACTAATTGATTGATTAATTTCAGGTTAATTGGTTCTACGATAGTCAAGCTACCAATCGATAATATATGAATTTTATTATCTCAAAGATAATTATTTAGTCTTTTGCAGTAGTTATTTGGTCTTTTTGGTTAATTTTTGTACATATTTATGTCATTTTTGACTAGATATAGGCCATTTTTTTTTTTTTTTTTAACACAAATTGGCTTACTGTTGGTTTGATAAATTTTTGTATGACTATAATCATAATATATACAAGGGCGGATCCAGGATGGGCTCTGGTAGACTTGAACCCATAAAAAATAATAATAATAATAATAATTTTAGCCCAACTCAAAAAAAAAAAAAAAATTGTTTTAGTAATACTAGCTCCCCCCATAATATATTAACTCACCCTGTCATACAATTCTGGATCCGCCCTTGAATATATATATATATATATATATTTGACTTAAAATAGTCTTATACTAATTATAAGTTTGGCCCCCCTAACCATTGAATCCTGGAACCGCCCCTGGACCATCCATTATACCTCCTTCCTACCAGGTTAATAAAAAATGTATATAAAAAATTAGAGCCGTGAATTTTTTTTTTAAAAAAATGTTGATGTGAATTTACTATTATTGCCACATCTCTTGTAGCATTTTTTTTTTTAGCCTAAGTTTTGAACAATATTATAAAATAAAATAGAAAAAAATGCAGAAATTATATGTATAGCCCTTCAAACGTTATATATATATATGAAAAAAGTATAAAGTCTATCAAAAAAATAGAAAAGAAAAGATAATGCTTTTATCGTTCTCCACTTTCCTTTTTCAATGTCAATATCCTCCAATAACACAAAGCATTTGAAATGAGTTACAACAAATAGGTTAAGTGACCAAACACGCATTTGAAATGATTCACTAGAACTAGTTACAAGTATTAATTAAATTAAATAAACATCCCATGCTTGAGCATGAAACTGCAAATAGTTACAATTATATGAAAGTTTTTGTGACCATGCCTTTGTGCTCTTATTTTATTTTTTTCCCTTTTTTTCTTCCACTTCAATCCTCTCTGATTGAGCATTAGCTCTTATTTTTCACATGTTGATTATTTTACTACCTGTTTCTTGTTTTCCAATTACAGGGTGTGTAACCTGTATACAAAATCTCTCTCTCTCTCTATGTATGCATATATATTTTGCATGCTTCTATAAATTAAGTCTTTTTAACTAAGTAATTACAAACACATTTCACAAATTGTTTACTCCATATTAGAAATTCCCACCCCAAAGAAGAAAAATTATCTTCTCCACGAAGGAATGTGTGGTTTGGCCTAAAGGTACTCTGCTCTGACTTCCTTTCCTTTACCAAACAAAGACTCTTCAATTCTTCCTCCTTCACTCATTCTTCTAATTTTCTTTCTGACCAAAGTTTCTAATTTCGTAGTATTTTCTCACAATAGGACAAAAAGAGTGTTTTATTTATTTATTTTTATTTTTGTCAAGAAAAAGAAAAAGAGACCAAAAAAAAAAACGAATAAGAGAATATAAATAGAATTACTATTACAGCCATCAAAAATGATTATTCTTAGTGTCTCATAAAGTATTAAGTTGTAGGTATTATTTTTTTAAGTGCAAAAAATTTCTTAAAAATCACATCCACGGACATGGTCAAACTTTATCCGATCCCTACGGCCCTACGTCTTGCAAAAGTCTTCTGAATTAGTCTGAGCAAAACTCCAAACTCTCCAATTATAAAAAATAAAGTGGTTATTCCGTCTTGCCAACCAAGTCTACTCAATGTAGTAAGTAATATGACATATTGATATATCCGATTTATACTTTATGTTTACTTAAATTGCAATAGTTCCATTGAAGAATAGTAAGTTGGTAAATTCTTTGATATGAAATTAGTATTACGTAGAATTACCCACGACCTATTTAAAAGAGTCCCCTCAAAAGTAGATAAAGTATGCGTCAAAATAAACAGTAATTTTTACTACATGAGTCTGAATATGTCTGTGGTAATGCACATAAAAATTATGTTTAATAATTAAATTTTATTGTATATTTACTTCAAAATGAGTGGAAAGACTATATCTAACACCTTGTAACATTAAAATTTATTTTATATTAAAAATAATATAAAATGAATTTAGCATAATTCATTGTATCATTTTGGTTGAAGATATAACAAGTTAGCTGTGTGAATACATACAAATATACGTAAGTCTATGAAATATAAAAGATTAAGTCAACTGTATAAATATGTATCCATAACCAACTGTGTGAATATATATAGAAATATGTGTGAGTCTAGAACGTAGAGTTTAAATTAATTGTGTGAATACATACAAATACACGAATTTAAATTAATTGTGTGAATACATATAAATATACGTGTGAACCTACCTAACGTAGAGTTTAAGTTAATAGTGTGAATACATACAGATACACGTGTGAGCCTACGTAACGAAAAATTTAAATCAATCATGTAAATACATATAAATACACGTGTGACCCAAATAATATAAAGTTAAAAGTCAATAGTGTGAAATACATACAGTCATATGTATGAACATGCTTAACCTAGAGTGTTAAGTCAACCACGTAAATATTTACAAATACTTTATCTCCGTAACAAAGAGTTTTAAGAAACAGGTATACGAATCTAGATCATATCTTTCAAAAGTCCAAAACTAAACAAGAATTAGTGAATTATTGAATTGCATGATTTTAATAATTGAAAGGGACAAAATACTGTGGTGTGAATTGTTTTTAAAAAATAATAGTTCAATTTTATTTATTTATTTTTCAATTAACCCCTGAACCAATAATGCATATCTTGAAACAATTCGGAGTTGGTGAAAATGAAAATAAAAATAAAAATAATAACAATTCCGAGGCTTGAGAATTCATTTTTCCCGACAAAAAAAATGTAAATTTAGAATATAAAAAGAAATTATTAATTCCCCATATTCTTTAGTGTAATAAATTTTTTTTAAAAAAAACAAAACAATTGGATAACGCAAACGAAAATTCAAAAGAGAGAGAAAGACACAGTACTAATTGCCAGTCGTCGTTCATGGCGGCGACCCATTCTTTTCCCATGGAATCTCTCTGACTCTTCCCTTTTAAGCTCTAAACACCACAACCACACAAACCCTTTCCTCGAGAACGCCGTCGTTTCACTCCAACAACAATGCCTCTCCTCCTCCGGTTCTTGGTGGTCGCGTTTTGGATCTTCGGGTCAACGCCTATTGGACTCGTGAACTCGCACCATGAGTCCGGCGAGTGGAGCTGTGAGCCGGACCAGGAGACCCGAGTCGTTGCCGATTTCAAACCCGGACTCGTCACGGTCGATGGGCATGCCGATGATTGGAGAGACGTTGAGGGTTTCGAGTTCTCTCTCCTCCCTGCTCTCGACCCACATGAGGAACACGAGTATAAAGGTGGAAAGATGAGTGTTAAGGTACGTTTACTATACGCAAACACACAGACACACACACACACACACGTATATATTTTGTGGGTCACTATTAGTATTGTGTATTTTGATTTTGATTGTAAATTTGTAGGCATTGCATGATGGGAAGGATGTGTATTTCATGTTACAAGTTGATGGGGACTATGCATACTCAAAAGGGTTAGTGAAGGTTTTTTTTGAAGAAATTTTGCTTTTAAGATGTTGATTTGATGATTCAAATTATGTCTGGATTTGTTCCCGAGTTAGATTTTGAGATTTTTTTTCTTTCAATTAGCGAATCTGATTTCATCTCATTGTTGAGCTGAATGAAACATAGGATTCATGTAGCCGACCGTAGTTGGGAAAAGGCTTGGTGGCGGTGGTGGTTGTTTGTTGATTTCATCTCATTGTTCTTTGACCAAGTCAGTAATTGAGATAATTTGGTACTTTGATTGTATGTTGGATGAAATTTTAGTACTGCAATATATTTTTCCATGAAAGTAATGTTGATTTTAGGATCAATTGTGATTCAGATGTGATTGATATGGTGGTAGAAATGCTGTCAAATCTCGTGTTAGTTCATTTTTTCATTTCATGGCCGAAAAGTGGGAAGGAGAGAAATTTGGAAATGAAGACTATTTGACATTGAAAATGTTGGGTATGAAATTCTATATTTTCACACTTTCTTCAATTTCTTAGCGATCAGGTGAATAATCAGGCTCTCTTTGGTTCGTTAATTTAGTAAGAGAGAAGAAGAAAAGGAAAACAATTTCCTCTTCTTTTTTTTTTTTGTTTTTTTTTTTTTCACTTGTTTTGAAGTTGAAACCGAAATTTCTCGATAACTGTTGGGGGCCAGGACAAAGTAAAGGCAAATGGTGTGCAAAATTAGAATTTTCTCCCTTTCTTTCCTCATTTTCTTTTCCTCCCTATTCTTTTATAGTAACAAAAATAAGCGAAGAAGATTCCCATTGTCCTTTTCTTTTCCTCACTAAAACCACAATCCAAACAGACCTTAAGGAATTGTGACATATGAAATATGAAAGAGTAAGGTTAAAATATAGAGCTTCAACTAAGGCTTATTTGGAGGACTCTGTATGACATATTTATTCTTCCCTCCTTTACTAACAACTTTCACTCTAGGAAGTTTTGATCTTTTAAATAATTTACTATCCAACAGACCTGAAAAGTGCTCACCTGATACGGTTATGACTGAATGGAATTCTTTCATGGTTGCAATTTATGTGGAATAATGGTTATAATTGTATTAATGGAGTCCCCCTAAGATGGTATCATTGTGTGACGACAAGAAAAAAGGACACAACAGAATTTATCATTTAAAAGTTGCTATAGGATTTAGGTGACATGTAGAAATATGGCTGCCTGAGAATTGTTATTTAGATTTTAATATTGCATTCATTGGAAATACTTAGGGTCACCTACATGATTTAAATAATGTAAGAAACTGCCAGTTGCAATGGTGATCAGGCTGGATTTGTAGTATTGTGTATTTTATCTTAGCTAATTGATCACAAATATACTAATGGAAAATCATATATGGCTAAGGTTGTTCATTCAAAAAGATCTCTTTTGGTTGACTGAGGCCATTTTGTTTGGTAGTAGTTTGTACAATGAGTTAACAACTGAGTTTCCCATTTAAAATGTAAGAATATATTCAATTCCTACCTTTTGAACTGAGGCAGGGCTTTTTGTTCTAGAATAAGAGGTTGATATTTTGCTCCAAAAAATGTGCTGAAGTAAGGTTGGTATTGAACTAGTGTGTAAGTTTGTTATGATACTATCATACCAGAAAGTTATACATGAGCTGTGAGTTATTTTCAGAACTAGGGTGTGAGTGGGGTTGTTATGATCCTTTCATATCAGAAAGTTACACATAGAATAGTTTTTTTGCTGAAGTATATTTTGTCTTTAGTTAGTTCCAATTGCTTGCATGCTTAAATTTTTTGAACAGTCTTGCTAAGTTGAAATGTGTGTGTTTTTGAGCAATGCAGCAACAGTAACAAATGCCCATCTGTTGCTCTGATGTTTCAAGTTGGTGAGAGTGCCTCATATCATAATGTAAGCTTCTTTGACTTACTGAATCATTCTTTATGGTATCTATTTGTTTTCATTGTTCTATTAATCATTTCCACATTTTCATTGGTATGTTATAAAATAATTATAATAATAAAATATAAAAAAACTGAGAATGGTTTTGTTGCACAAGATGGGTGGGTGTAAAGAATCGCCAAATTCATGCACCAGTAAAAGCTGCCATGGCTATGAAGTTGACATCATGCACTTCTCCATTGGAAATGCTATTCCTGGTCGTTTATATGGTGGCAATCCAATTGACAACAGAGATGGGAATGGAGGTGACAGGTAAGTTTGGTCGTTCTTTTCTTGTTAGATTCTGTTTCAAAATTGCCTTATAATTTGGCTAAAAATGATTCTACTGACATTTATGTATGTGTGTGTCTATGTATATCTTGGATCTCATCTACAGGTTCGGTCATTTGGTTGATTTGTATTCTTGGAATCCTCATTGTCGATACCTCGACGGGATGAGTCCTTCAGGTATTTCTAAAGTGAAAATTGTTATGCTTCTCAATGTACAAGGGAGTCATTCATTGATGATGTTTAATCTCTTATAACCATCACAATGAAAATTGTCCTTTATTAGAATGAGTGTTCTAGGATTAACATTTCCTATAGCTCTTTAATCCCAAAGTTATTCATAGATGGGTTAACTGCAAAAAACACACGTTATATAAAAAAAGTGCCAAAACCCTTCTAAAAATTAAGTGCATATAAATCCTTGTATTATTAACATTTGGAGCAAATTGCCCCCTAATTGCTAATTTTGACCATTTTTTTTATAGAACCCCCAAAATGCCCTCACTATTAATGTCAAATAAAAAAACTTACTAGTAAATATTTTATAGCCTCAATTTATATACTCTCTTTATAATATATATATACACATCATTTTCATCCTCTCTTCAATTCTCTCTCTTTAAAATATATACCTCTCCAATTCTCTCTATCTTATATATATATATATATATATGTTGTACACAGTATGTCTGTGTGTGTGTATATATATATGTGTGTGTGTGTAATCATTTTCTCTTATATTTCTTTCTCTCTCTTCATAACGGCGGTCAATCATCGCCTTCTTCATTGCCACTGCACCGGTCAATCACCGCCTATCATCACTTGCATCGTTCTATTGTATATTCAATTGCAACTCCATCGCAGCCCCTTGGACGACCTAGGTTGTTCACAATCGCAGCTCATCCTTCAAAATCGCAACTCCATCTGGCTGCATTGGTGGTTTTGCAAATTTATCAGAACTCTAAAACCATCCCAACCCCAAACCCAATTCATCAAATCTTCTCTCTTTCCATACAAATCCCATTACTGAGATAATGGCTTTCCTCTGTTCCAACCCCAAACCCAACTCATAATATAAAATAGAATATAAAGACATTGATTACAGAATTAAATCATCCGTCTCAACACCAGTCAATCTCTCCCTCTCTCTCTCTCTCTATATATATATATATATATATATATATATATATATTGTATATACCTATATAAAAAATCACCCATAAACTGTAACCAAAGGATTTGAATTTCTTCACTTGGGTCTGTGGTTTAAACCCAGTTATTTTGTATTTAGTTTAATGCAAGGAATTTTTACTAACAAAGAGAATCAAGCAGTTTTGGGTTATAATTAAGAAAATAAAATATGAAGGGTTTCATATTGACGAGGAAACGAATAGGGCAATTCTTGGGTTTGTTTCAGAGTTAAAAAATGGCGACTGAAGCCTCAGATCTGACTCAAGTGAAGCCAATTTGTTATTGAGAATGACGGGGGCCATGAGGTTGATAGAGAATTGGGGGAGAGGGGTAGTGGTGATGGCTCTTATCTGATTGTGAAGTGATATCTGGTCATGTCTTTTTGCACTACTAATCTAAGAGTTTTGGGTGGTGAGAGATGAGATTGAATATATATATATATACACACGCACACATGTAAAGAGACAGATTTAGCCTTTTTTTTAGTTTAAGGTTTTTTATTTTTTATATCATAAAGTAAGGGTACTTCAGTCATTTCATTGTTCAAATTGAAGATTTGTCCTTATTTGCACAAATTGAAAAATGCAGGGGGGTTTCGAACGACGGGGTAATTGCACATTTTGTATATCACGAGGTTTTTATTTTTTTATTTTTTTATTTTTTTTTTAGCACTTTACCCTTCATAGATCTTTTATTTTTAATTCATTTGTGGAAAATTATTTGTTCCTGCAAGTATTTCATGTCCACCTATTTAAAACAAGTTCTTCTAACCCATTCATGCCTAACCAAACAGGCATAACCTAGCTGAGAGACCCTTCAAGGGGACCTTCTGTGAACTTCACGAGAATTTGAATATCATGCATTTTGTTAGGAACTCAACAAAATTGTATAATTATCAAAACTTATGATATCTGTTGAGTAAAATTTGGAATAGCACTGATGTAGTTTGAGTTTTAAGTTGGTGAAGAAATCCTTTTATATGAGTGGGAATCATGTTGGACAGAAATGTTGAAGTTTTTTTTTTTTTTTTGTTCATAAATGAAATGTTGAAGCTTCATAATGGAATGCAAGGTCTGAAGAGATTGCAGTTTGTTGACAAAAGCCAAATTTACAAAACAAAAAGTAAACTAAAAAGGTATTGAAAACTTATTAAATAGAAGCATATTCAAGAATTGGCGAGGTCTTAAAACAAATTGCAATTTATATATATAATGAAAATTTTGTTTTTCTTTTGGACTGTCAGTTATTTACTTTATTTCACCTTCCGCTGTGGGTGTGTTTTCATTTTAGATAGAAATTAATACGTTGGAACAGATCTTGGCATAATTAACCTCCCTTCTTAATTACTTTTAATTTTTTTCTTTTTCTTTATTTTTGAGAATTTATACAGAACTTCTGGAATGGGTTTAATCTGGGGCTCTACTCCAGTCCTGTTCTAAGCAGTAGGAAAGGATATATGACATCCCATGGATAAGAGTTCTTAGCCTATTTGGGTGATACTCATTCAGTCTGGGCCAGAAATCCAGCATCCAAAAGTGGTCTTTCTGTCTATAGTCTTACCTATTTATAGGGTCTCCAATTCCATACAAATGAGGGTTGCTATCTGTAGAAAATATTTAGTTATTCCCTTATGAGCATATATGTCTTTCTGTTCTTATGAAATTTAGTTATGTATGTAATCTGCAATTTTAGATTGTGCTGATGATGATTAGTCGTGGCAGTCTCTTCTTCTATTTGTTCTGAAGTTTCATTGCTATTTGTTAAATGTGCTACTATTTTTACTTTTCAGGAAATGATTCTAGTGCACAGAATAACTGGAAGGGTGTGTGGTGGCATAGCAGTTTGACAATGCATTCAGGTAACTCTCCTTGCTTGATTTCCCATTCAACGTTCTGATTCAATTTCACCCAAACCTGTGTTTGGCTATGGAAAATAATGTTAAAATATATATATATATATATTAGAAATCTCACCATCATCATGTTTATTATAGCTCAACTTGAATCTTGCTTTTATAATTACAATTTTTTTATAACAATTTTTTTTGAAAAACAGCTCCTTTTTGTTTTTGATTGACTGCTTCATGGGGACAGGCTGACAGTACATGACAAATGATAATATTTATATAGTCCACTAAGCGCTGTATCTTTTTATTGAAGAGAATGAGAATTTTGGTTGAAAGACAATCTCATCCTTTTTGAACTTTTCTGTTTTATGCAATGTAAAGAAACCTTAACACACGATCATGTGGAGACACACTTACATGTGTCGATTTTTTTCCTTCCGCCTTTTCGTTTCATTCTTTCAGCTAACCTTGTGGGAGTGTACTGTTGTAATCTATATGATGAGGCTTGCTTTGGCATCCTTGACTGGCAGGTTTTGTAGAGGGAGAGAGTCCTTATGGATCGTCTGATCAAAAAGGAACGTACTATTTTGAATTTTCAAGACCCCTGAGAACCATGGATCGTCTTCAACAGGTTCAATCTTCTCTGCCATTGAGTTTAACATGCCATTGAGTTTAACATATATATCTGCAATGCCAAATTGAGAGCAGGAATTTAGCTGTTCTTGGAACTCTCCTGGAGCCCTTTGAAGCATCAGCTGTTAAGTTACAGTGTGCATGGATAGTTGATAAAAATTAAATAATTCAGTCCTTATTACCAAATCAAATGGAAAATCAAGCTCAACATGTATGATTCAGTTATCATCAAAATATCAAAATAATATTTAGATCAATCGGGAAATTTTAATTCACATCATTTGAATGCTTTGACAACCAAATAAATCCAAATTCAATATTCTAAAAAACAAAATTAAATGGATCTCTTGTATTGCATATACCATCTTTGCTAGTGATTAGGATGACTTTTTTCCATCCCCAAACCAATAAGGTTAGAGCCAAGCATATTATTGAAGTTCCTCTTTTAGAGAAACTATTTCCGACTTGCTGGATTTTCCTTCTGCTGATTAAAAGATGAAACTTTCTTGCTGTAAATACAGGATGTTCAATTCACCATTGGTCAAACAAGCAAATTTTCGGCCGCATTTTGGTATCCAGTTGATGGGAATCCATGGCATGGGGCAGGGCACTATTCCATCCACTGTGACTGGGTACCTCTGGATATCTCTTCTGGGAGTTCCGCACTCTCCACAAAGGCTTCAAGAAGTTCTGGGGATGCTGCCAGTGCGTTTGCTCTTGTTTTATCAGCACTCTCTTTTTGCTTATCCATTTTTATTGGGTACTGGGTTTCTAAGAACAAAGCTATCCCCTTTACACCTATGGATCGTCTTTAGAATCCATTGCACCTTCTTCTTTTTTTCATTTGCTGTTGGTCCGGGGGTAGGGTTTAGTTCGGGTTTGGGATCAAGATACAGGGATATTTGTTGGCAGCACTAGTTATATATATAATGTTTTTTAGATTGTTACCCTCAGGTTGTAACAAGAACTTTCTTTTTCACTAAATTTGTTTGTTGAGAATGAAAAATAATAGAAATTTAGATCAGTTGTTTACCTTACATTGCCTTGATCTCGAAATTTTGCTGGTTTTTTGGGAGCCCAGAGTAAGAACTACTCTGCTGCATCCATAAATTAGTATAATGGGACCATATAGGGCTTTTTATTTATTTATTTTTTTTTCTGCCAGTAGGGTACTCCACAAATTAATTTAACGTAGTTAATTTTACTGAGTCAAATTAATTAAATATAAATTTATAATTCTTAAAATAGGTGTTACTGAATTGTATAACACCTATTATTTACACACTGTTTGATGGTATTCAAGGGATTATTTATTCGGTTTACATTGAGGCAGTAATTGAATGTTGGACTAAACAATTTACTCACATTTTGTATTTATTTTTTTTTTTTTTACAGTAAATTTTATTTTATTTGACACGAGATTAAAGACTACCATCATGATACTTGCAAAGCATAAATGTGCAATATTACAATCGGATTTGAAACACAGATATCATCGAAACAAAATTAAGCAGATAATTTGCATCAGCACATAAATTTGTACAGGAAGTAAGCACTATGTATTAATTATATTCATATATTTATAGAATCAAACCAGTTAAAATAAAGGAGCATTTGTTGCAGAGAAAAAGCTGAAATAGAGGATATAAAAATATAGAATCAAACCAGTTAAAATAAAGACTAAAATAGAGTATATAAACTTTTGGTGTAAAAAAAAAATGTAAAAATTCACTATAGGACTTGCATATGTGTTTATTAGGCTCTTATTAATAATATAATTTTTTTATTTTAATAAATAAGTCATTAAATGAGTTACAAGTGTAGCCCGTTTAATAAATAGATTGGGTTAGTGTTGAGAGTCTCTGTCACGAATATTAAACTGACAAGATTATGACCCGCAAAACACGAATTATCACCCCTGGAGTTGAATAGTTGTAACGGGTCAGGTGCTTCGCGATCGAACTCAAAAGTTTAAGTTATTAAGTGGGATTAACTTTCGATCCATATATACCTTTATCACATTCACTGTTTCATCTGGATTGTAGAACAGGTCCCCTTTGTGATAGTAGCCTAGTGGCAAGAGGCACTCTTCTGAGTCAAGTGGAAACCAGGTTCGACTCACCCATCCTACCTCCTTGCCAGGTTTAAAAAAAAACATAGAGCCATGAATTTTAAAAATAAAATGTTGGTAAATTGAGGCATAACACTACGCAGAGCCCCCCATAACTTTATCGTTATACTTCTATGATTTATAGAAGTAGAAGAATTTATTTACTATTATTGCCACATTTCTTGTAGCATTTTTTCTTTTTTATTTTTTATTTTTTTATCAGCCTAAGTTTTGAACAATATTATAAAATAAAATAGAAAAAATGCAGAAAGAATATATATATATATATATATATATATATATATATATATATATATATATACACACACAAATGTTTAAGTCAACTGTATAAATACATATAGATACACGTATGAGTTTATATAACATAATTTTAAATCAATAGTATAAATACATACAGATATACATGTGAGCCTACGTAATGTAGAGTTTAACGGTATGATTCGTGAATACACATACAGATACGCGTGTGAGTCTACACATACAGATACATGTGTGAGAGCCTACGTAACGTAGAATTTTAAGTTAACAGTTTGAATACATATCAATATACGTATGAACTTAGTAGAATTTTAAATTAACCGTGTGAATATATACAAATACACGTGTAATCCTATGTAACAAAAAGTTTTAATAGACACGCGTACAAATCTGCATAATGTCTTTCAAAAGTCCATAACTAAACAAGAATTGGTGAATTATTGAATTGCATGGTTTTAATAATTCAAAGAGACAAAATTTAGCAGTATGAATAGTTTTAAAAAAATAATAGTTCAAATTTATTTATTTATTTTTCAATTGACCCCTGAACCAATAATGCATATCTTAAAACAATTCGGAGGCTTCAGAATTCATTTTTCCCTACAAAAAAATGTAAATTTAGAATATAAAAAGAAATAATTAAATCCCCATATTCTTTAGTGTTAAAAAAAAAAAAAAAAAAAAAACACACACACACACTTGGTTATAACTTATAAGTCATAACGATAAAAACGAAAATTCAAAAGAGAGAGACGTCTTCGTCGTTCACTTGTACTAATTAATGCCAGTCGTCGTTCATGGTCATAATCTCTCCTTTTAAGCTCTAAACACCACAACCACACAAACCCTTTCCTCGAGAACGCCGTCGTTTCACTCCGCCAACAATGCGTCTCCTCCTCCGGTTCTTGGTGGTCGCGTTTTGGATCATCGGGTCAACGCCTATTGGACTCGTGAACTCGCACCATGAGTCCGGCGAGCGGAGCTGTGAGTCGCACCCGGAGACCCAAGTCGTTGCCGAGTTCAAACCTGGACTCATCACGGTCGATGGGCACGCCGATGATTGGAGAGACGTTGAGGGTTTCGAGTTCTCTCTCCTCCCTGCTCTCGAGCCAGATAAGGAACACGAGTATAAAGGTGGAAATATGAGTGTTAAGGTACGTTTTCTATACACAAACGCACAGACACACACACACACACACACATGTATATTTTGTGGTTCACTATTAGTATTGTGTATTTTGATTTTGATTGTGAATTTGTAGGCATTGCATGATGGGAAGGATGTGTATTTCATGTTACAAGTTGATGGGGACTATGCATACTCAAAAGGGTTGGTGAAGGGTTTTTTGTTTTTGAAACTTATTTTAAAGAAATTTTGCTTTTAAGATGTTGATTTGATGATTCAAATTATGTCTGGATTTGTTCCCGAGTTAGATTTTGAGATTTTTTTCTTTCAATTAGAGAATTTGATTTCATCTCATCGTTAGCTGAATAGAAACACTTCATGTAGCATACCTTAGTTAGGAAAAGGCTTTGTAGCGGTGGTTGTTTGTTGATTTCATCTCATTGTTCTTTCATCAAGTCACTAATTGAGATAATTTGGTACTTTGATTGCATGTTGGATGAAATTAATTTTAGTACTGCAATATATTTTTGGGACAAGTATAAAAAACACCCTAAAGTATTCTCATATTTGAAAAAGTGTGCAAAAAATACTCATAATCTTTTCACATTGTGCAAAAATACCTCATCTGACATAAATTAGTGTTGTAATATTCGTTTTGCCCTTTTACTCTTCCGAAAATGCTCAAGGGGGTATATATGCTATTAATTTCATAATATAAGGGTGTTATGTGCACATTACCTTATATATATATATATTAAACTTTTTCTTCTATATAAATCTTTAAACATTTTTTTAAAAAAATTTTGAGAATTTGTAGAACAAGAATTTGAATTTTTTTAAATTCCAGTTACTCTTTTTTACTCTTTTTTTCTTTATTTATTTATTTTTTGTACCAACACGGTTAAACAAAATAATAATAAAATAAAAAAATTTCCAATATGAGTGTGCATTGGTTTTGGAGTTTGGAAAAATTTTGTTTTATTTAGTTTGCATTGTATTTTTGTTTTTTATTTTCTATTTTTATCTTTACTTTTTTTTTATACTTTTATTTATATTTTTTATCTTTACTTGTTCGTTGTCGGCGTCTTCCAATAGTGTCATTTTCGGTCATTTTAAAAAATTATTTATTTTTATATCTATTATAAAATGGTTCAGTAAAGGTAATTTAGTCACCTTAATTAAAGTTTAAATTTGTCGAGAGACATATTTGTACCAGATTGAAACTTTAGAGGCGTTTTTTGCACGAGAGGGACATCTCCAATAGTGTCCTTTTCGGTCATTTTATAAAATTATTATTTTTTTTATATTTTATAAAATGGTTCAGTAAGGGTAATTTAGTCAATTTAGGGTTTAAATTTGTTAGAGGAATCTATTCGCACCAATTAAAACTTTAGGAGTGTTTCTTACACGTGAGAGATGTGATATGCATTGTAAACATGCTTTACTATGTTTTCTGCACTTAGCCCTATATTTTTTCATGAAAGTAATGTTGATTTTAGGATCAATTGTGATTTGGATGTGATTGATATGGTTGTAGAAATGCTGTCAAATCTTGTGTGTGTTCATTTTTTTCATCAAGTGGGATGGAGAGAAATTTGGAAATGAAGACTATTTGACATTGAAACTGTTGTTAAGAAATTCTATGTTTTCACACTTTCTTCAATTTCTTAGTCGATCAGGTGGATAATCAGGCTCTCTTTGGTTCGTTAATTTAGTAAGAGAGAAGAAGAAAAGGAAAGCGATTTCCTCTTCTTTTTTCCTTCACTTGTTTTGAAGTTGAAATAGAAGTTTCTGGGTAACTGTTGGGAACCAGAATTAGATTTTTCTCCATTGCTTTCTTCATTTTCTTTTCCTCCCTATTCTTTTATAGTAACAAAAATAAGCGAAGAAGATTTCCATTGTCCTCTTCTTTTCCTCACTAAAACCACAATCCAAACACTCTTGCTAAGTTGAAATGTGTGTGTGTTTTGAGCAATGCAGCAACGATACCAAATGCCCATCTGTTGCTCTGATGTTTCAAGTTGGTGAGAATGCCTCGTATTATAGTGTAAGCTTCTTTGACTCACTGAATGATTCTTTGTAGTATCTATTTGTTTACATTGTTGTATTAATCATTTCCACATTTTCTTTGGTATATTATAAAATAATTATAATAATAAAAAAATATAAAAAAAAACTGAGAATGGTTTTGTTGCACAAGATGGGTGGGTGTACAGAAATGCCAAATTCATGCACCAGTAAAAGCTGCCATGGCTTTGAAGTTGACATCATGCACTTCTCCCTTGGAAATGCTATTCCTGGTCGTTTATATGGTGGCAATCCAATTGACAACGGAGATGGGAATGGAGGTGACAGGTAAGTTTGGTGGGTCTTTTCTTGTTAGATTCTGTGGCAAAAATTGCATTATAATTTGGCTAAAATTGATTCTACTGACATTTATGTATGTGTGTGACTATGTATATCTTGAATCTCATCGACAGGTTCGGTCATTTGGTTGATTTGTATGCTTGGAATCCTCATTGTCGATACCTTGACGGGATGAGTCCTTCAGGTATTTCTAAAGTGAAAATTGTTATACTTCTCAATGTGGTCTTTCTGTCTATTTTCTTACCTAATTATAGGGTCTCCAATTCCGTACAAACGAGGGTTGCTATCGGTAGAGAACGAGTAGAAAATCTGTAGTTATTTCCTTATGAGCATATATATGTCTCTCTGTTCTTATGAAATTTAGTTATGTATGTAATCTGCAATTTTAGGTTGTGCTGATGATGATTAGTGGTGGCAGTCTCTTCTTCTATTTGTTCTGAAGTTTCATTGCTATTTGTTAAATGTGCGACTATTTTCACTTTTTAGGAAATGATTCTAGTGCACAGAATAACTGGATGGGTGTGTGGTGGCATAGCAGTTTGACAATGCTTTCAGGTAACTCTCCTTGCTTGGTTTCCCATTCAACGTTCTGATTCAATTTCACCCAAACCCGTGTTTGGCTATGGAAAATAATGTTAAAATATATATATATATATATATATATATATATATATATATTAGAAATCTCACCATCGTCATGTTTTAGATCAACTTGAATCTTGCTTTTATAATTATAATTTTTTTTATAACAATTTTTTTTGAAAAAAACAGCTCCTTTTTGTTTTTGATTGACTGCTTCATGGGGACAGGCTGACAGTACATGTCAAATTGTAATATGTATATAGTCCACTGAGCGCTGTATCTTTTTATTGAAGAGAATGAGAATTTTGGTTGAAAGACAATCTCATCCTTTTTGAACTTTTCTCTGTTATGCAGGCTTTATTTGTTTCGTCATAAAATATTATTTTTAAAAAGTATATTTTGTTTTGAGGTAAAATATTTTTTTATTTTTACTTTATCGATATTTGACAAAGATCTACGTCGAGGTAAAGGTTAAGGTCAAGTCCATCAAGCTCAAGTCCATCAAGCGAGACATATAAAATAACTCTCTGAAAATTGATGAATAATTTATTTTGGTTAAATTTTAATATTTATTTTTCTGTAACGGAATCTTAACACACCTGGAGACACTTACATGCGTCGATTTTTTTCCTTCCGCCTTTTCGTTTCATTCTTTCAGCTAACCTTGTGAGTGTACTGTTGTAATCTATATGATGAGGCTTGCTTTGGCATCCTTGACTGGCAGGTTTTGTGGAGGGAGAGTCTCCTTATGGATCGTCTGGTCAAAATGGAACATACTATTTTGAATTTTCAAGACCCTTGAGAACCATGGATCATCTTCAACAGGTTCAATCTTCTCTGCTATTGAGTTTAACAAAACATAAATATCTGCAATGTTGTGGAGGGAAATTCTCCCACCATTCATAGTACGCCACGTGTTCACAAGAATGACTAGACTAGAAGCCCAACGCAGTCAAAAGTCCATCGGAGGAGACCCATAAATGTCGAGCAGGCCCGAACAAAGGAAATCGCATAAATGGAGATCGCATGAAAATAGGGTCCATGATTAATACAGCTTTAAGAAAAACTTTGTATAAGCATATAAATACGAAATCAATGAGAAGAGAAAATGCATCAATTCCAACTCTCTAATTTTCTTCTTTTGAACATGCTTCAATTCGGTGATATCAGGATGTTCAATTCAACATTGGTCAAACAAGCAAGTTTTCGGCCGCATTTTGGTATCCAGTTGATGGGAATCCATGGAATGCGTCAGGGCACTATTCCGTCAGCTGTGACTGGGTACCTTTGAATATCTCTTCTGGGAGTTCCGCAATCTCCACAACGGCTTCAAGGAGTTCTGGGGATGCTGCCAGTGCGTTCGCTCTTGTTTTATCAGCCCTAGTAGTTTTTTAGAACTACTCTGCTGCTTCCATAAATTAGTAATTTGTTTATAAATTGTAGTACAAACCTAATTAATTTAACGGAGTTAATTTTAGTGAGTCAAATTAATTAAATACAAATTTATAATTCTTAAAATAGTTGTTACTGAATTATATAACGCCTATTATTTTACACACTGTTTGATGGTATTCAAGGTAAGGTCTACAGTGAGGCAGCAATTGAATCTTTGACTAAACAATTTACTCTCATTTTGCAATTTTTTGACATAGGTAGTAAAATATTTATTTTTTATTTTATATTGACTGTAGACTACCATTATGATACTTGCAAAGCATAAATGTGCAATATTACAATCGGATTTACAAAACAGGTATCATCGAAACAAAATTAGGCAGAAGCACGTAAATTTGTATTATTTATGTTCATATATTTATAGAATCAAACCAGTTAAAATGAAGGACCATGAAAAAGCTGAAATAGAGGATATAAAATAACATAATCAACCAGTTAAAATAAAGATACAGTTATGGTAGAGAAAAAGTTAAAATAGAGGATATAAAAAAAAAAAAATGTAAAAATTCACTGTAGGACTTAATAGTTGGGTAGATTATCAGATACAAATAGATAATTTATTTCTTACTAATCCGATTGAAATATAAATATAAAATGATACAAAAGAATTTATTTTTTTATTTTATTTTATTTTGATATTTGGGTATCATAATCAGTTTGAAATTTTAACTTACATATTAAATATTATAAAATTAAAAACTTTTATAGACTAAATGGGGTAGAAATGTATGCGAGTACATGTATTAACAATCAATAAATAGGAAATAAGTGATTTGCAGTATTACAAAGTAAGATAAAGAGGTGATTTGAAAAACATTTCACAATAATTTAAGAAATTTGTGAAAAGAGTGAAATTTTAGAAATAAATTGCCAAATCATAAGTTGAACAGTCTAACAAAAATATTTACTCCTAAGTCCAAGCCCGTTTATATAGACTAGCTTCTCACATGCTAAACAGAAAATCTATAATATCCCATGTATTGCATAATACCACACTACTCTATAAGACTATAACATTCTAGAGAACACAAGCATCTACTCTATCAACAATTTAAACTTCTAAATTAATTCCATAAAATTATAAAATATTCTAAAATTTAAATACACTCGAACATGTATGCAAATGCCACATGAGGAGGCTGAGGAGCTGAGACTTAACGTTGGGGTCATGGGTTGTAACATCATGATGCCTATTATTTTACAGAACAGGAATTTTGATTATGATTTATGTTTGATGGTATTAAGGGATCACTAGTTCGGTTGACATGCGAGGCAATAACAGAGTGTTGGACTAAACAATTTACTCTCATTTTGCATTTGGGACATACTAATAAAATGTTTATTATTTTTTATATTATTTTCATTGTTTTTCTTTAATTCTTGCACAATGTTAAAAACTAGTACTATATATATCATCAAATATAAATCCATTTTTATTGGGTACTGGGTTTCTAGGAACAAAGCTATCCCCTTTACACCCATTCATCGTCTTTGGAATCCATTGCACCTTCTTTTCTTTTCTTTTTCATATGCTGTTGATCCAGGGGTAGGATTTAGTTCGGGTTTGGGATTAAATAAAAAAAAAAATTACTAATTAATTTTTTTATAATTTATTTGGACCATTTCTCGATTTGTTTGTGTCATTCCGGGCAATGCTAATCTTCTTTGTATATGTGTCATTCGGGCCATGCTAATCTTCTCTGTATTTATATGGTTTCAATTTTACTACATTGCCTTGATCTCAAAATTTTACTATTTTTTTTGGGAGCCCAGATCAAGAACCACCATGTTGCTTCCATAAATTAGTATAATGGACCATAAAGGACTTTGGGTTGATTTTACTGGCACCCTATCAACTTTGACCAAATATCATATTAAAACATTTTTAGAAAATTAGTATCACTTAGACCCTAAATTACTTTTTCGTTACTTTTACCGTTAAAAAAGTGATAAATGATGATTTTATCCTCATTTTTTTAATTTATTTTAATCCAAAATATCATCAAACTTAAAAGACAATGTTGCCCCCTGCCTTCTCTAACACACATATATATATATCTAACACAATTGAAGTGGGGAGCTGAAACTAAGAGTGAAGTGTGGACCTGTTTGAGAGTTCGGAGATCTTTGCATGCAGATACGGACCCAACATAGGACCAGTGGGGAATTTTTATATTTTTATTTTATATCTCAGTTTTTTTAGAATTTATGAAGACGCTTCCACTCAAATTATAATTCGCCCCAATTGAATTTTATTTTATTTTATTTTTTATTTTTATTTTTATTTTTTAGTTCAAATGTATAAGAATTTATGAAGATGTTCCCACTAAAATTATAATTCGCCCTCACTATTTTTTTTTTTGGCATTTTATACTTTAAATTTTTAAAAATTTATAAAAAAACCTCTATTGAAATTAAAAAAATGGACCCATCATATTAATTCGGCCCCACGAATTAAAAAGCAGCCCCTCTTGGTAGAGTAAAACGGTGATAGAGGATTTTCAGGTGATGGGTGTCCAGTAGAAAAGGAGGCTTCTGTGTTGAAGAATGGAGACTAACAGAAACACGAGAGATAAAACAAACGAAAACGAAAAGACCCATCAAGAATTGACCCAACGATAATGGTGAATGTGGGAGTTGTTGACACAGTAGAGATTGAATTGAAAGAGCTTTCGAGTTGAGACACTGTGAAAACTGTTCATGGTCTTAACCAATTCTTAAGAACCGAACTGTACACAATTGGTTCATTTTAAGTCTTGGACTTGGATTAGACCACTTGGCCCTGCTTTTTTTTTTTTTTTAAAGTAAATTAAAAGAAAATTTCATAAATCTAACTTTTTTTAAAAAAAATTTTTTAGTACATATGTCACACTATCATTTTGATTTAATATCCCTATTGAAGATTTATTACGAAAAAATTATTTTCCGATAAAATATGCACTTTTTATTTATTTATTATGACAGTATTTTTGACATCATTTAACTAAGTTAATTAGAGTATTAATTCATTCTTTATAGTGTAATCCAGTGCAAGGATTACATTCTCTTTCTTAGGTTTTTTTTTTTTTTGGCAAGAAGAGAATAGCCATACGGCATTTACATAACACATCTACAAAGGACAGTACAGATGTAACAAAGGCAAGGCAAACAAAACCTGAAGCACAAAGAAGAAAAATGAAGATCAAGCTCCAAATTTACTGAGAAGAACAACGGAAGTCATCTCGTGAGACAAGCACCAAAGCTCAAAGGTCAAGTCATCAGCAAGACAATTGTTCCAAAGCTGCGTTCACAAGGCGCCTCCGACGGGTAGAAAAACCACCCAACCCCGCATAAATGTGGGACCACAATAACCGACATAGATATGAGATATAGTCGGGACAACAAAAAACCGACATAGATAAGAGATCTAGCCAGAGAAAGAAACACAGATCCACTCAATCTGGCCAAAAGCAAGCCAAACCGAAGCAGATCTAGCAAAACAAAAACAAAAACGACGTAAAAACCACCCACAGAACATATTTATGATGAGACGCCGAGTTTATTTAGCCTGTGGGAGACGAGAAACATTACCTCCCCACTCCCATAGAAGGGAGCAGGAGAAAAGAGAGAAGACGAGGTGGGATAGAAATTTTTTAAAATGACTAACTTAATTTTGTTAGTTATCAAAATGACGGTATTGATACAAGTTAAAGAATGTTAAATAAATGAATTTGCAATAGAGTAAATGACAAATTTATAATTTTGCATTTCTAAATGCGATAAAGGGGTGATTTGAAAAGCATTTTAGAATAGCTTAAGGAATTTGTGCACACATACAAATTCAGGAATAATTTACAAAAGAATTGTTTCAACATGACAGCGAATTAATTCAGAGTCTAAGCCCTTATAGTGTTTATATAGACATCAATATTCAATATATTTGCATAACACTACAAAACTTGATGACATTCTAGAGAAACTATCTAACATATTCTAAAGCACTATAAACTTGGTAAGTTAATTCTATAAAATTATAGAATATTTTTAAAACTACACTCAAACATGGCATTCAAAAGCCACGCTGTATCCAATGAGGGCCTCAAACTTAACCTCGTGGGTTGTAAGAGCATATCCAATGGGGCTGTCAATTTAAAATATAGCAGGTGGACATAAAAATAGCTTATCCAATGCAATGCTATATGGGTTGCTACTTTTTAACTTTGCTATTTCTTATGACAATTGTAGTAAAAGAAATAGCAATTGCTATATGGGATGGGCTTACAGAAAAGAAAGGACCGGCTCCTGAAGGTGACAGAGTGAAAGCAGATACATTACTTGAGTGCCAATCCTGAAGTATATGCTTCCCTGTAGAATATAAAATAAATGCCAAAAATGAATTCTTGCATACTTTATTTTGTTGAAATAAAAAAGGAATTTTATTTATATTTATTTTTATTTTTGAATATGGAATGAAACTGGTAATTACTACTGATAACTTTTATTTTGTTGTTAATTGTAAACTATTGATAATATATTTGTTGTTGAATTAATAAGCTCAATTTATTATAGATAATAAAATATAAGACAACTTTCGTGCTCCAAATAATCCAATCAATTAAAAAAGTCAAAAAAAGCAATAATAAATTAATAAGCTCAATTTATCTTTCAATTTATTGGAAACTGAAAGATATGGGTTGTGAACTTCTAATTCTTGTTGATTTTGTAGTTTGCAGTTGTGCAGAGAGAGAGAGAGAGAGAGAGAGAGGGGGGCAATTTCAGAGTTAAGAACGAGAATAGAGATGGAGGCCATTGGGGAGGCTGAAATGATTTGCCCTAAAAATATATATATTTTTAATAATAATATAATCAAATATATATAATATACATATATATATAATATATATAAATTTTCGAAAAAGAAAAAAAAATATTATATAAAAATATAATCAAATATATAAATTTCTACTTATATATATATATATTTTTGATTTTTTTTTTACCAGATATTTTAGATTTTTACTTCTTTTTAATTATGTTTAATTTTAGTTTTTTTTTAATATTTACAACTTGACTTGGAATGTGCCTAATATTAATATTATTGATACA